ACCGTTCCAGCCCCCCCGTTCAAAGAACATTTCTTAGTAATTCAGCAGAGTGAGAGACGCCTTTTCAAACATTTTACCAGAAGAAATGTGACTGAGGTTCATAGCAGTGTAGATTAGTAAATTAATACATTATTTAATAATTATTCAAATCTGGATCTGGGATGAGAGTGGCTGTAAGTGATAAAATACTTCTCGGGGCAGCCTAAGTGCCACTGTGGTGAGACAAGAATATGCCATTCCCAGAGCTGACACTGCGTGTCTGGGCTACATTCTGCCAAATATCATACCCCCCTCTCTATTTTGTATTGAATTTGACAGTAGCCATACCACATGCATGGGGGGAAAAAAATCAACCAAAAGCAATAGTCAACCAAATTGTTCCTGATCCAGAGGTAATGTTTTCACATAAATTATATGGACAGTTACAATTCAAGAAATCTCTATGACTAATCTTTCTTGGTTCTTAGACAAATTAAGCACAGGAAAAATGGCTAATCTAGAGAACTGTCTTGCAGGGGGGAAAAAAGAGGAGGCCTTGTGGCACTTTAGAGACTAACAAATTTATTTGGGCATAAGCTTTCATGGGCTATGACCCGATTCATCAGATGCATGGAGTGAAAGATACAGTAGGCAGGTATAAATAGACAGCACATGAAAAGATGGGAGTTGCTTTACCAAGTGGGGGATCAGTGCTAACGAGGCCAATACAATCAGGGTGGATGTGGCCCATTCTCAACCGTTGATAAGAAGGTATGATTTGTGTCCATTTATTCTTTTGCATAGAAACTGTCTGGTTTGGTCAATGTACGTGGCAGAGAGGCATTGCTGGCACCCTGATTGAATTGGCCTCGTTAGCACTACAATAAATATTTTTTTTCCTCTGCTGATATTCATGCCTTCTCGTCAACTCTTGGGAATGGGCCACATCCACCCTGACTGTATTAGCTGATACAGACTAACACAGCAACCCTCTGAAACCTGTCTTGCAGCAGTTACATCTTCACTCTGTTTCAAACTATGAGCACAGTTTAGCTGATAATTGTATTCTCCTCATTTAGGAGACAGAAAATTCCAAATTCCACAGACCTTACACACCTTTTCTTATCTAATGATGCACACTGCAGTTTAGCTGGCAATAGACCATAGCACACAAGTAGCATTAGATCAAGGACACATTTGCACTAACTGTACCTAGCACACAGTTCATATTTGGCAAACCTTAACAGAGCATACATCTTGCGTCTGACAGATTCCACATATACAATGAACAAAGGTTAGAACAATTGAACTACTAGTAAATTAGCACAATAAAGATTAGCATGAGCACAGAATATTCTGGGAGATTTTTACTAGTTCAAAGCCTAACACCCCCATTTCTAGAGTGGGAATAACAGTTTAGAGAATATTACAATTGAACTGAAATGCAGCTGGTATAACCTGCTCCAAAAAGAAAGGCAGTCATGGATAAAGTCAGCACTGCACGGAAGATTGCAGGTCTTCACCTACACACATGGCAATGCAGCCATTTCAGACACATCATTCTCTTGTATTATTTTATTCCCTCCAAGAACGATGAGACAACAGTGACATAAAGTCGCATCTCATCATCGCCCTCTGACAGACAGGCACAGCCACGGATTTCCCCACTTGAGGAACAGGGAGACACTGGCCTGGTACTGCTGATCAATTTGTTTTGTGGCTGTTTGATTGATTTGTGGACTCCAAAGTGCAGTCCTGACACCAATCATCTCTGTCCCAGCTGCAGCCCATAATGCCCACAATGGAATGTTTCAGTACCTCTAGGGTTAAATTCTTCCATCTCCAGGACTACACAAAATAATTTTAACAAACTCAGCACCTAAACTTGTGTCTACTTAGTGAAGAGGTGGGAACATTTCAGAGTGGGAGCAAGTTCTAACTTCTCCCTCTTTTACAGGCTTTGGGAACAGGGTGAAGTGAGAGGTTGAAGAAGTTCCCTCCATCAAAAACAAGGGTCAGGAGTCTCTATCCTGAGTGGGTGCTCTGGTGTTTAGTAAGATATGATGAGCGAGCAAAGCGCTTCCCACACTGAGCGCAGGAATATGGTTGCTCTCCTGGGTGGGTTCTCCGATGCTGAGTAAGAGATGATGAGCGAGCAAAGTGCTTCCCACACTGTATGCAGGAATATGGTCGCTCTCCTGAATGGATTTTCAGATGTTCAGTGAGAGATGATGAGTGAGCAAAGCACTTCCCACACTGTGTGCAGGGATAGGGTCGCTCTCCTGAATGGATTCTCTGGTGGTTGATAAGGCCTGACGATTGGGTGAAACTTTTCCCACACTCAGTGCAGCAATAGGGTTTCTCTCCAGTGTGGATTCTCTGGTGGTGAGTGAGATGTTGTAGACGGACAAAGCCTTTTCCACAGTCAGTGCAGCGATAGAGTTCCCCAGTGTGTACTCTCTTGTGTCTAGTGAGATTTTCTGGATGACCGAATATTTTCCCACACTCAGCACAGCGATGGAGTCTCTCCGTGCTATGGATTTCCCAGTGTCTCCTGAGACTTTGAAGGAGACTGAATTTTTTCCCACACTCAGCACAGCAATGGGGCTGCTCCCCAGTGTGGATCCTCTGATGTCTGATCAGATGTTCTCGTAGGCAGAACTTTTTCCCACACTCATGACACAAGAAGGGTCTCTCTTTGCTGTGGATTTTCTGGTGCCTAGTAAGAGTTGATGCAAGTTTGAAGCCTTTCCCACATTGGTTACAGCGATGGGGTCTCTTTTCTGAGTGGACTGCCTGATGATTACGAAATGCTGAAGAATTCATAAATCGCTTTCCACACTCAGCGCAGGCAAAGGGTCTCTCTCCTGAGTGGACTCTCTTGTGGCTGTTAAGAGCTGATATATCGACGAATCTTTTTCCGCACTCAGCACAGCAATAGGGTCTCTCTCCCGTATGTATTCTCTGGTGGGCAATGAGATGCGATAACCGGTTGAATATCTTCCCACATTCAGAACAGGGATGGTCTCTCTTCTTTCTGTGAACTTTCCCATGTGCTCTGAAATCTTTCTTTCTCCTAAAGCTCTCCCCACACTCGCTACAGTGATACCGTTTCTGACTCCTATGAACCGTCCAGTGGTGGCTTATCAGGTCTCTCTGCACCTTGAATTCTTCTCTGCACACACGGCAGGTATATAGGGTCTTTCTGGGCCCAGCTTTTCCCTCTGCAGGAGGCTTTAGATGTGGCCTGGATCTCCTCTGATGGCCTCTTTGGGTTCCTGACTCCTTTCTAGTCAGGTGCTTCCTCTGCCTTTGGAGCCTGCACTGCCTCTTGCGGTGCCTTCCCCGCTCAGTTTTCTGGGAATGGCTCTCCACTGATGTTCCTGGGAAAGGGCTGGGTGACTCCAGGTTGCCAGAGTCTTCCTCAGGAGTCTGCCCCTCAGCCCTGCTCAGGTTCCTCGCCCCTGCTTGGTGGGGAAGAGAGTACAGATGTTATTTCTTGTGCTGCTCAGAAATGGAAACCACTGATATTCCCAGCAGGAGGATGTGCCTAAGGGAGCCCCATGCCTCTCCCCTCAGAGCAGGGCTGGCCATCGGCAGTTGAGTGCAAGAGGCCAAACTCCCAGGGGCCCCAGTGGTAGGGAAGGAGGAGGAGGTCAGTGTCCCATAGGCCGTGATAATAGCCCCCCAAATAAACCTGGAAATCAGCCCCCACAATTCTCTCACTACTCTGAGTCCTGTCTCATTGGGGACAACAGCATCACCACACACCAGCACTGACACCCCTCTCCCAAGGGACACACACGGAACACTCACACTGTGATGGATCCCAACGTCTCCATGTTCTGTGGAAAATGGGAGAGGGGGAGAGACTGAGGGAATCTGCGTAAGGGGAGAGATGGAGTTTCTAGGGGGATGTCAGGGTGAGGAGCTGTAGCACTTCTCGTGTTTGGGCTTCAATCCCTATTGTAATGCTCTGTGAGGGGAGAGTTTGCAGCTGATGGATGATTCCTGAAATGAGCTCTCCGGCTTCCACTGCTGGAGAGGACAGGTTCCCTACCTGCTCCAGGGAAAGAGCTTTGTGTGAGGAAGAAGCCCAAGGAGCTTTCAATTACTGACCAGTCCCAGATCTCTGCATCTGGAAAATCTGCACCAAGACAAAAGGCCATTGATTGACATTATATGGACCAAACGAACATCACTGAGAGAACCCCTTTCTCCTGCACTGTAAAGTACTCATTTATAATCACTGTTGGACAGTGGGTTCCACATAGGGTGAACAGATGTCCCGATTTTATAGGGACAGTCCTGATTTTGGAGGCTTTTTCTTATATAGACACCTATTATCTTCCACCCCCCAGTCCCGAATTTTTTTTTTTTTTTTTTAATACTTGCTATCTTGTCACCCTAGTTCCACAACACACAAGAGGGAAAGCTATTTGGGACTTGACTGTTAAATTTATTAGAGCATACAATACAAAGTGTTAGTCTCTAAGGTGCCACAAGTACTCCTGTTCTTCTTTTTGCGGATACAGACTAACACGGCTGTTACTCTGAAAACTGAGCTTGTGGTTTCATAGCACAAAGTGCTACATAAAGAGATCACTCTGATGTTGAAGAGCTTATATACCAAATAGATAAAGGGGGGAGAAACCTGAGACAAAGGAGTAACTTGCTGTTGTAATAATTGGGCCCACAAATTTACCCTAATTGGCAGTTTAATTGTAAAAACTGTGAGAAAGTTTATAAACTGTTACAATATCCTACAACACTAAATGCTGATGGGAAAAAGTGCAATATAGAAACAAGACAACGGAATTGGTCCAAACAAAAGAGGCCTATAATGCAATTCAAGGACAGTGATAAAATGATGGCTGTAAACAAGAGAAGTATGGAAATGGACATTAATGAACCAAAATGAATAAGTTAGAATTTAAGCCTAACTGGCAGAAAAACAATGAGGAGCGGGGCTATTTTGCCCATTACTTCCTTTAAGGGTTTCTCAAAAGAAAACACTTTCGGGGGAAAATAAAGGAGCGGAACTGAATGCAATCCTTGCTGACTGAAAAAAACAGCAATAGCAGGTGTGTGCCAACAACTTCTGTGGTGAGCGATACCATCATGCTGCCACCCTGATCCTCTTTTGGGATCCCAGATCTTCTTCATCCTTATCCTAAGAGATCTCCTAACAAGACTGGACCAGAGAGAGGGAGCCAGAGGATATTGCCACCGTTACCAGTTCTGGCTAACTCTCCAAAACCACCTGGAATGTGAGATTTTTGTCCCCCCGACCCTCTTATCTCCCATGAATTCTTTTCATTCCCCACATATTTCTTCTCATTCTTACTCTTCTCCCTTTGCCTTCTAGTAAATAAGAATCTGGCTTAGCTGGCCAAAACTGCCATAGTTTGCAACATTGCTGTAAGCCTGTGATCAAAGAGGCAGGCAAATGCATTGTCCAGAACAGACCAACACTGTTACAGGTTTGCCAGGCAGGTCTCCAATTGGCTGATCAGACTGTGTGCCGTGCCTGTGTTTCTCCAGCAGTGAAGCAGCAAGTAAGAGTAAACCCGAGACGGAAGCCGCATGTTCTATCTTTGCTATTCTTTTCTCTTCCCTCTTGTGTGGGTTCGTTCTGTTTTGTCTCCTAGGGAACGGGATCGGATTTTAATAATATCAACAACAGCTCCAGTCCATTTCAATTAACTGCTTCTCTTTTCCCCAAAAGGACAGTTATTACCATCTTTAATACCATCTAAAAGACGTTCAAACAGAGGCCTTTTGTCTAAAGACTCTCCAGCTAAAGGGAAAGGCAACAAGGGACACTGTCAAAATAAAAGTCTTAGATAATACCTACAATGACTCAACTCTTTTTCCTTCTTTTTCTGTATATTTAATAAAAGATTAAAAAGAATTTTTCATGGTGTTTCCATGGCATAGAGCAGGCTACTCTCTCTGTATTCCAAACCCCAAACCTTATTTAACACTCTTTAATGTTGGCCATAACAGTGTCATGTTAACACCTTTGTCTCTTTGGGCCCATATAGTCTATATGAATTAATACAATATTGTCCAAGATCTGCCAGCAGCTCATTGGCAGAATGAGGAATACAGTCCAGGTCTCCTCAGTTCCACAACATGATGTTGCCTCCCAACCTGGAGAATAATAAGGAAATCTCTTATTAATGTCAACTGAGAGCCCAAAAATGCGATGGAACGATGTTGGGTCCCTACAAAACTGGGCCTGAACGTTGAAGGGAGATTCCTAAGTGCTGTTCAGCCAATAACTCAGACAGCCAACTAAGGATTACAAACACTTTGGTGGACAGGATTAGAATTCTAAATGATCTTGACAAACTGGAGAACTGGTCTGAAATCAACAAGGTGAAATTCAAGAAACATAAGTTAAAATTAGTTCACCTAGAAAGGAAAATGAAATGTACAACAGAAAATGGGGGATAACTGGCTTGACAGAGGTGCAACTGAAAAGTATGTGGTGGTTATAGTGGATCATGAATTGAATGAGAGCTGACAATGTGATACTGTTCTAAAAAAGCCTAACAACAATACACTAAAAGACTAACATTCTGGGAAGTATTGTCACTTTGGCCACAATCTATCAGGATTCCAGCTGCCTTCCTTCAATCCCTGCACATCAGTTTAACTCCTTCCTCACCTGGGTGGGTTCCTCTCAGGATGTCCCCATCTTCATCTTCTATAGGACCCGGCCCACACAGATTTTCTCCTCGCTCTATGCTGGAGATCACCACTGGCTTGAGGGCTTGGATTCCTTCTTAGAGAAAAGCATCACCGTCCATTAGATCTAAGCTAAGCACTTCTACCCACAGAATTCTTGCACTTTGCACAGCTCCATATGCAATGTTTGTTAATTAGGCAATGAGCTAAATGTGAAGGCTAACAGGCAATTTTTTCTATGGAAACATGTACTGCAACTTGTGGTCAACACTCCTGGTGCCTGGCAGTGGCGGGATATTGAGTTGCAAACAACCTGGCACCCGTGGAAAGTGCAGATGGAGAGGACTGCAGTGTCTAAAGGGATTGAGGGGAACAGATGGGGCAAATGCTGGCTATTTCTCCTTGGCCTAGGAGAGTTACTCAGTTACCCAGCACCCCCACTCTCCTGTGGATATGTTTACATAGGAATAAAACACATGTAGCTGGCCTGGGTCAGATGACTTGGGCTTGGGCTGCAAAATTGCTGAGTGGCTATTTGGAGGGAGGGTCCCAGAGCCCAGGCTCCAACCCCAGCATGAATATCTACACTGCAATCTTTAGCCCCGCAGCCTGAGCTCTATGACATGAGTCAACTGACCCAGGCCACCCATAACCATGCCGGGGGTCTTTTATTCCAGCATAGATGAACCCAGTCTGTCTTTCACCTTAACTGTGGTGTCGGCTGGCCTCTCATCCTGTAGACCTGCAGAACACATGACCCTTTTCTGCTCATGTGCTCTGTCTGGGGAACTACAAGAGCCAGGATTCTCTTGCATTAAACTGAGGAGCAGTAGTGACTTTGGGTGGAAGGATCTCCTCTTGAAGATATGCAGTGTAGTTGTAGACGTATCAGTCCCAGGATATTAGAGAGACCAGGTGAGTGAGGTAATATCTTTTACTTGGCCAACTTTTGTTGGTGAGAGAGAGAAGCTTTCCTTTCCCAGACCTGAAGAAGAGCTCTGTGTGGCTCAAAAGCTTGTCTCTCTCACCAACAGAAGTTGGACCAATGAAAGATATTACCTCACCCACCTTGTCTCCCCATGAACTGGCTGCTCTGCTCAATGAAACATGCCTCTATCCATCCACACCCACACACCCCTCCTTCAAACCCCATAAACACCTTTCTGTGTCTCCGTGAAGCACCCAGTGCACTGGGGCCCTGATCTCACAGACACAGCTCCTCACCTAATGAGATCAGAGTCTGGTAATTTTCCCACATGACATGTCTGTAAAGTTGCTTTTGCTCCTCGCTCAGCAGCGCCCATTCTGCTGGGGAGAAATACATGGCCACATCCTCAAACGTCACCAACATCTGAAAGGACAAACAACCCAACTCAGCATGGCAAAGTTTACACAATGATAGAGGAATAGTTATTGCAGGTGAGGCAGATGTACAGTGGTCCACAGAACTGGGAGGTTTGAAAGTTTGTACCATTATTATGGGTGTGGGTTTGCACCGTGTAAAAAAAGTAATGGACAGTGTTTTCTGTGTCTGTGATTCACCCCACAGTGGTGGCTCGGGAGCTGAGGCTGGCCCCCTGCTGTGGGTGTTGTATCCTGGCACAAAGAGTAGCACCACTTCTGCGGCATCATCCTGCTGACCCTCTGTCATGATGGGACAGGCAGGCCAAACTTCAGTTAGTGTCGCAGCAACCCGGAGCACCAGGTCACAGTCCCACTCACATTTAGCCAGCACTCCTGACCCTGTGTCACCATGCCGGAGGGCTGGGCAGACCAAACCTGAGTAGCACTGCAGCCCCTCCAACCATGATGCAATGTCCAGAGCAGGACACTGGGCCCAGCCAGCCCCAATGGACCCTGCTGGAGCCACTATTGCAGGGTGAATGTGGGGCACTGGAGTAGCATTGTGGGGTGAGTACAGGGTTGGTTCACTCTCCAGTCGCTCCATCCCTGGGCTTGCCCTCTTTAATAGGCAGGAATTAGGGTTACATTGTTGTAGCCGTGTTGGTCCCAGGATATTAGAGAGACAAGGTAGGGGAGGGAATATCTCTTACTGCACCAAGAGCTACATAGAGCAGAGTCCTAAAGCCCAGACTCCAGCAGAAGCCCAAAAGTCTGCACCGCAATTAAACTGCCTTTAGGCTGAGCCCGTCAGCTGGCACAGCCCGGCTGCAGGTTTTAGTTGTCCCCTACACACACCCTGGGCGCCCCAGCCAGAGAGCTGCGGCTCA